TATATATATAAAATATAAAATATATATACACGGAAAAAAAATGATGTTGAATCAAAACAGTATCAGTTTAATTGAAATATATCCTGTTGATGCAACATCAATATTATTGCACTATACACAGCAGATAGTTGCTTTAAGAATCTATACATTAAATTAATCGCATATGCAAATGAATAAACTATTTATTTTTGTGGCAGCCCGTGACGTCAACTTTAATTGAAGCAACTCCATTTTTTTTCTATGTAGCATAATTTAATTATTGTATTTAATATTCGGTAACTCGGACGAAATTCTTGAATTTCTTTCTCAAATGTTGGAAAACTTGGAAAAACCGCCTTTATATACAGTTCTTTTAGCGACGTCTCTTAAAAGTTTTTATTTTTTATGTTAATTCTTCGTGATCAGACTTCAAAAATGATGAGTTAAGTCAGACCGGATCTATGAGAAGACCCACGCGACTTTAACATCGAATATTTCTGCAAAAAATCAATATTTTTTCAATTTCTTTTTTTTTCTAATCAAAAGTTTGAACATTTCTGCGTCGATAAAAAACAAATTGAAAAACTCTCCAGTAGTTTCGAAGATATAAGCGTTTAAAAAAGTTAATTTCTTCTAGAAACACCAATACGCAATTTCTGAGTGGGTCTGGAAGACGTCTGACTACAAAGAGTTAAAATAGTATATAAGATTTATCTTCAAACGTGCAGTACCTTTTTGATCTGAGATCGATTGAACCAATCTATTGATGTTTTTAGCAGCTAGATCAATCGGCACCAGAGAACTCTCATTGTCTCTTAGAATTCGCTCGCACTCTTCTCTTCTGCGCCGAAGCTCCTCTCTGTAAAAATAATGAAGATATAACTAAGCACACAGAGATATTTAATAGTTACTCGCTGCTGCACCTACTCATGTGTCTTCGACGCATTCGCATTAATTGTTCTGTTTCACATTACGACCGAGCTTTTAAGCGAGAGTCTCAAGCACGGCTCTCTATTGTAATTAGCGAAACACTTGCAAAGTCATTTACAAACGGCGGGAAGGTACAAGAGTGGATTATGAATATTCCACGTGTGTCCTGCGCCATGCGTTCCCGAGCGCAATACGTACTTTCGGAATAAACACTCGGAAGCCGACGGGGCTTCAAATTACTATCTTCTCGAGTTTCACGAAGTAGACGCAAATACTAGGGAGTTTAGCGACTGTCAGATATACTCCTCTGGTACATACGCGCGCATATTCGGCGTATGACAAGTCGTAGGATAGAATGTTTGACGTGACATGAGCGCTATTGATACAAAGATCGCGTATACATGCGCATATATGCGTGTATATACAAAAATCGATATTGCAAGAGAGAGAGAGAGAGAAAGAGAGAGAGAGAGAGAGAGAGAGAGAGAGAGAGAGAGAGAGAGAAAGAGAGAGACAGAAACGTGAAATGTATATGTGCCTACAATTCATAATTGAAAAGCTTCACAGAAAGAGATAGAAATTTATCGGACGCGAACTATCTACCGGAAAAATTACTGCTCTTAACTTAAAATACAATTTAAAAGATATATTAGAACACTGGTAATATCTATAACAACATATAATGGAATTTTGAAAACCATGCATTTTTTTGTAATTAAAAATGTGCATTATAATATAAATAATAAGTTTTATCTTATTTATCAAATATGAAGATTTGTTACGAGCAATAATTGTTATTTAATAACAAAAACCATTGTGTATGTATATTGCGTATAAACTGAGTTTATGACCTCATTGTTTTAAGGAATAAAAATAATCGCATCTCTCTCTCTCTGTGGTCTGCGAAATTACTGCATGTACATAAATTTTTCGCAAATCGAAGGAGGCAACGACATAAATCGTGGCGGAAGTATGAGTTTGCGATAAAAACGAGAAAAAAAAAGAAAGAAAGGAAACGAAGCTCAGCGTAACAGAAAAAGTCGATCGAAAATTACAATATTCATTTTGATAAAAGGAAACCACACGATCGTACGCTACTCACTGTGTGTCTGAGGATAATTTATTATCTCGAAATGTTCGGAGAAGTATTTCGCTTTTACGCCGCGGTTTTATTCTTTTACGCTGTGAACAGCATAAATATTCCTATGTCTGACTGCGATAAGGCAAAATATGTCACCGAATCGCTCACTTAAAAACTGGCATTGTTAGTAATTAGTGACATCGTTATTTTATAATACAAATTTTATAATATTATATTACAATATAATACAATATATGAAGTAAATCACGCAATCTAATTCTCAATGATACAATTAACAGCTATATATTACAGCGTTATTAAAGAGTAAATATTCACGCGATATTTGCTGCACGTAAAATTACTTAAAACTTATAACTAATACACGCTCAACATCGGAAATTCATTATATTTCTCCGTTCTATTTTCTCGACTTTATTAGAACTTTTGTATTTTCTTCTCTCTTTTAAAATTTATGCTCCACTAAAAAAGGTCTTGTTTCTGTAAAATGTCTCGTTTCTAAATATATTTTTCATATATTTCTGACTATTATAAACTTGGAAGATAAAAAGAGAGGAGAGATAAATAGGCAAATATTATATATATATATATATATATATAATTTTTTGTCATTTTATATATATATATAAAAGATGACAAAAACAAAACTTGAAAAATATATTAAAATAGAAATCATCCAATTGTGTATAAGCAAAATATATATCATATTGTAAAGTTTGACCTAAGAGAATTGCGTTGTTTAACAGGCTCTGAAAAGGTTATTTTATTTTATTTTGGAATTTTGCTATAAAACTGTTTGGCGGAGTGCGGTTGATACCGGATCGTACGTTAGCGAACGGGAGCTGCCCGCCCTCGGGCGCAGATCTGGTATCAAATATTATCCATTATTAAACACTACAGAGCTCGAGCTCCTGTGTAGCAGTATACGTCAATTTTTCAATATTTTTCTGGCTTCAAACGCTAGAACGCTGCGAAGCACGTCACTCACCCCTCCCATCTCCTCATCTCGATTGTAACGGTGTGTATCGGAATAAATTTGCGCGTTACCTTTGATACACAATACATGATATGATATCATTTGTTTGACCGATTGGATTCCCCGCGCGTTACAGTAAACATATCATTTTTTAAGTAAATTGTACAGAGAGTCTGTACATATCATAAATCTAGCGATATCTTATACAAGAAATCTAACAAGCAGCATTGAGAGAGAGAGAGAGAGAGAGAGAGAGAGATCGTCGTTCTCTCAAGAATCAACGATCGAAGTTCACGACAATAGAAAAGAAACAACGCAGTTTTTTTTATTCGGCACATATCAATATTAAAATCAAGAGTTTATATGTGTGCGCGCGCACATATACACGTATATAAAATCTGTCGATATTTTTCTGCATCATGAACAACTTCTGTTTGAGAGTTTCTCTCTCTTTTTCTTCGACCCTTTACAGTTTCTCCTGCCGTTCTGTTTTGCATGGGTTAATTCCGGGGTCCCCGGTACTCGGTAGGGAAAGACCGGCGGTGTCGGCTCCGCATCATAGCCGTGCAATATACAAATTCGGAGCGACACATCGATCGATGTGGACGGAATAATAATTTGCACTGTTATTGCGAACCCATCCGGTAAAATCAAACCGGGCCGGCGCGCGTTTCGTCTCTCTTGTCCTCTCTTTCTCTGTGTCCCGCTATATTTCGTTTTCTTCTCCTTTCGCTATTGGTTTTTTCTATTGAGATGTTCTTGTTCATTATCTTCTCCTTCCTCTTCGTTTTTTTTCTTCGTTCGGTTCGTTCTTTTAAAGATAGAGTAGAAGTACTTCCCTTTCTTTCTGCTTGTTTGCGTCTGTCTCTCTACATATATATACATTAGCCACACGCTTTGTTCAATAGACGAGTAAAATAGCTACGAATATGCGAATGTCAAGTGGCAATCGATTGAAACTCATCATTTTCGCGGCGTCCACCTCGTCTTCTCTCGAAGCGTTATTGAAAAATATTCTTGACGTGTACTGGTTTCGCCTCATCGTTTTGACGATGTCCAATCATAATGCATTCTCGAAAAACTGTGAAAATGATGCCAAATTGTTTCGTATAATACATTTAATACGACAAACTGTATAAGTAAAACTGTGTTAGAATCTAAATAACATTTTCAATAAATTGTATAAATATTCACAAGTGTTTTTTTTTCAATAGAGTCATATTATCATATAAGTAACATTTTTGTTGTAATTTTGTAATTGGCGAATGAATTAATATAAATTTTACAAGTAATTTTGTTCAGTTTTGATGTTATTCTTCAAAGATTTGACAGGAAGAAAAGAGACGTTTAGCAAATCTGTGAGTGAAGTAAGCAATCCTGCTAGACCTGGAGAAGGCATGGGACGGTAGTATGGTTTACTTCAAAAACTTTTTACCGATAGCATATAGCCAGCGGGCACTTTAAATAATCCTTCTGGACGCGGATATTAAATTTCTTATCGTGGCTTGCGGTGAGAGCATAGCGGGTTCGTGGTAGTCCGTTTAAATACACTTTGTCCGCAAGCCGGATTGCTGAGGTATTATATACTTATTATATAATGCCCCATACTTATGTATATATGTATGTATGCGTGTGTATGTGTGTGTGTGTGTGTATGTATGCGTATTCTAGTGATCTCGTGGCCGTTTAAACTCTAATCGTAAGTTTCGTAAGAAACCCTTAAGGCTAATTGAGGCGACTTTTTCACAGAGACGTTATTTTACGCTCTGAAAGACGTAGCGATTATTGGACTCTCGATAGATCAAGTACAAATCAATTGAGTTGGAAATTAGTTCCGTTATTACTCGAAAAAAAGGCGAGACAAGTTACAAAACGTCGAATAAGGAAAAAAACAAAAACATTTTTATTATACACGAATGCACGTAAAAAAGACGAGAGAGATTCACATTTAATTAAGTGATAATTTCTTTCCGCATCAAATCTTTTGTCATTGGATTTGTAAAGCGTATATAAAAAAAAAAAAAAAAAAAAAATACGCGAAACGTACTGAATAATTAACAGATATGCTTTTCATAAAAATTTTCAAAGCTGGCAAAGTGATTTTGTGCCGCCGCTCTCGTCAACTTCGGTACGCGCGGTATGTTAGAACGTTTGCTCTTTCTGCCTACAAATAAAGACGAAGCTTTGAATTTTAATGCGCCGATCAAGCAGCATATTGAAAAGAATAATACTTACTTTTGAAAGATTAATCAAAGGCGTTAATAGCATTGTTATTCAATTCATATCGCAAGATTAAATGTCGCTCGAAAATAAAAGCATTTTTCTTACTTTGTTGTTTCGTTTCTTACAACCAAATAATGAATCAATATTTCTTTTTCTGAATCAAATTAAAATTTCATTGATTGTACCCATACATATGAGACGATAAATATTAATACATCAGAGAAAATAAATATTAATACATATGTAATATATATATAAATATTAATTAATTGGAATGTTTAATCATTTTAATGATTAGAGAGCAGAATACAAATTTCTTTATATTTCTGTGTGTGATTTCCAAAATAAATAAATTTCTATGTACGTATATAAGACCCAGTGAAAATTGCAATGTAAGGAAGAAAGAGTGATCCTTTATGAAAAAAATATGAGGCAAAATTGCGAAATAGAATACTTTCATATAAGAGCCTGCGTTTCCAGAGAAAAAGCAGCTTCAAGCCGTTATGCATACATTCATTTATATGAGATATTGTGTAAAGGAAAGCTAGGAAAATGAGCTATTTTTTTGAGTGTTCCACGCAACTATGTGGATAATACGCGGGGGACTGACATCGTAATTGCGGGGTTAGAG